AGGACTATGCCAGAATTCCCATAGTTTAGGGTCCTTATATAAGGGAATGCAGGATTTATATCTTCAACAGTATCACGATGTATCATTACCTGGATCCTAAAGAAGCTACCTTTTTAAGGACTGATATAAGGAAGCTATAATAATAAGGATCCCTAACAAGGTAGGTTTTATAGGGTCCAGATACATATTTCTCGCCATAATCTCATGTATGCATGCTTACATGGTGGCATTGCGGGGGCCTGCTTCTGGGGTGCCTTCTTCTGTGCCTCTGCGAGCTTCTGGAGCACTGCCTCGCACAGCAAAAAAACAGGAAAAGGCTCGGTCTGTCGAAATCTTGGAGCCTTCTGCTCCTCATCCTGCTGCTTCGATCTCAAGGCGGCAAAGAGACTGATGTACTCCTTGCCTTGAGCACTCGAACTTCCGAGGCCGTCGCACTTCCTGATGCTCTTCAAGCTCGGACTTCAGCTGCACAAAGCGCTGAAGAAGCGCTTCCTCCTCAAAAAGGCAGACCCCGGCTTCCCGAATGCCTCAGAGCCTTCTTCTCCAGCCGACCTTCATCTCGCTTTCTATGGCGGTCCTGGCAGGTACCCATAGGCCCCATAGTAGTTCCTTTTTGGGGTTCATTTAGAATCCCCAGAAGGGAACTACTATGGGGCCCATGGGTATAGCTACAATGTCTCATTGCTCATCTGGGCTGTTGATGAAGTGATTGGAAGCCAAAGGGACTTTTTGAGAGAGAGCTGCTGAGAATTTCAATGAACCCAGCAAATTCAACCTACTCTGCCAAAAGCACCCAACACCTGAACTTCCCGAACCCAGCCTGGCAGCGGAAGCACGAAGCTTGAGAGCGGCTGCAGAAGCACCTGTCCAGTCGCAGCATCTTCCACCACCTTTACAGCATCAATCCTTAAGCCCAACATGAATTGAAGCCTGATGTTCACCCAACACAACTTCCAAACCTATACTCCCTACTCCTTGAACCCTAAACCCACGTAATCAGTTAACTCCTAAACCTACCCTACTCCCGAAACCTTAAACCCTACACCCCAAAACGCAGTAAACCCCTAAACTATCTTCCCTAAGCCCTAAAAGCAGTAAACCCCTAAACTATATTCCCTAAGCCCTAGAAGGCCCTGCCCTGAGCTTTCTTGAGGCCCCAGCTCTGCACCTCCTGCCGCCTTCGACTCAGCTCCTGCGCAGCGAAGGGAAGCCTCAAAACTGCTTTCAATGTGGGGTTTAGGGTTTAGGGTTTAGGGATTAGGGTTTAGGGATTAGGGTTTAGGGCTTCCGAAAAAAGGGGGACCCTAAGATAGTACCCTAAAGAGTAGGATCCTTATTATAAGGACCCCAAGAATGAGGTACCCCTTATTTTGGGAAACTCCCATGTAACTCTCCCCACAACACTACAAAGCCCCCAAAAGCAGGGCTTAGGGTTGAGGATTTTGAAGGCCCCCAAAACGGGCCCTAAGTAGTATGGGCCGAGTTTTGGCGCAGGCTTCGGCAGACTATCCCCCTAAATCCTGCAACCCTAAAGCCTAAAGCCCACACCACCCAAACCCAGGTACTTTATAGTATCCCCTAAATCCTGCAACTCTAGAGCCTGAAACCCAAAAACCCAGGTACTTTAGACCCTCCAAAGAGTGCTGTGCTCCTCCTCCAAAGAGGCCAAGTGCCGGCTTTTCGCCTCCACGGCCTGCGGAGACTTTTGGAAAGACTAATACCGGCCAGGAACAGCAATAGTCAAATAGTAGTGGTTGTATTCGGGGTAGCAGTAGAGTAATACCGGTAGGAACAGCAACAGCAGGGTTTAGGGTTTAGTGGTGGTAGAAAGAGCAGGAGGAGGAGTGGCAGTGGCGGCTGCGACCACTACCACTACCGCTGCCACTACCAAGCAGTAGTCTTTGTGCTCGCCATCGAACGATCCGACTGCTCCAGCTATGTTCGCAAGAAGCGCCCTGAGCCTCCATGCGCAAAGACTTCTTCTTGCTCTGAGCCTCCAGATGAGCACATGACGATTTGAATCTCTGCCAATCGTTAAAGCCCCCCAACCCTAAACCTAAACCTTAACCTTAGCCCTCACCTTAAGCCCCAAACGTGATTCGCGCCTCAAGTGCAGTTTGTGTCCTTTCAATCTTCTGCTTGGCCTCTTGCCGCGAACCTTCTTTCAGCGGGAGCTTCTCAATCTACTCCTTTCCTGTATCTTCTTTAGGGGGCCGGTATTGTGTCCTGCTATTTTAAGGTCTCTGAGGGACCCCTGTTTTCTGTAACTCCCACATGGGGGTTCCCAAAAGTAGGGGACCCTAATCTAGTACCCCAAATAGTAGGATCCCTATTATAAGGACCCCAAAATAAGGTACCCCTAATATTCGGAAACTCCCACATCCACTGCAAAGTCACAAAATGCCAGGCAGACGCTCGACATCCTCAGCTGCCAGGTCCACCTCCGCCTCTGCAAAAGGCAGGGTTTGGAAGAGAGAACCCTAAGGGTCCAAAGGACCCAATAATTAGGTACTTAGGTTTCGGATAGTAGTTATGTAGGTTACTATTATAGTAACCTACGTAACTACTATCCGAAACCTAATTATTTGGGAGAGTATATGACTATAAGGTACTTGGACCCTTGAGAAGACTCCAGCTGTTTTTCTGAGGAGCGAGCGACTTCCTGGTCGAGTTGCTGCTGAGCCTGCGACAAAATAGGGGGGCCCTAATGAGGTTAGGTTGTAACCATGACGAAAAGAGGATTTTCTCTGTCACTGTTCCAACTCTCTCTGGGCTGTAATAGAGTACCCCTAAATAGTAGGATCCTTATTATAATGACCCCTACCTACCGTAATGGAACAGGCACCTCTCTCTCAGCCTACAATCCGAATGTGGACTGGTGACAGCTGGGCATCACTTTTGGCAAACGGCGCAGGGTCGACTCTGGCGTCCGCTTCAGAAATCATGTCTGAGATGTTCTGGTGGATGTCCGTGCCATCAGGTTCCACCGAACCAGATAACGCCAGCATGGCATCTTTCTCAACACGCGCCTGCAAGTCAAATGCCGAACATTACGCTGGTTTCCATTTCGTGTAATCCTCTTTGGCAACCGGCCGCTGATCCTCGAAAAATGACATGGCCTGATCCTGAGCCACGGGGGACAGGAGTGGCTTCTTGGTTAGGGATGCGGTGCTGGCGGCACACCCTGTTGCCTAAAGCCGGGGGCTAAGTCTAGGCGGCTGGCGCTTTTCCGAAGAACATGCTCTCTGCCCTGGATGAAGAAGGTACACGGCTTCTCATGCTTGTAGAAGTACTTGGAGCGCAGGCAGTAGGCTGGGTTCAAGTTGAACCAGGAAGGCGCAATCTTGCCAGCCACCTGAGACAGGGTGTCACTGCATAGGGTTTAGGGTTTAGGGTGGCTTCAGCAGACTGGACACAAAGTGACAAGGGTGCTTAATTTGGCACCTCTTGGTAGGTGAGCTTCGTGGGCACATGCTCCTGGACATCCCCAAATTTGGGCACCAGGAACCTTGCAGCAAGCCGGGTGTCTGGACCATACAGAAGAGATCTTAAAGCAGACCATTCTTGCAGGCAAGACTCTTCAACATGCACCTCAGCAAAGGCAGTCTGAAAGCAAGGTAACGAAAAGATTCTTCAATGCTTTCAGAGCACCAGTGCAGGGTACCATGAGCAGCAAAGCTCAGCAGCAGCGTCAAGCCAAGTGCGTAATCCTGGCCCGGGCCGTTCGCTTGCGTTACTATGAAAGTTGAATTTATAGCATTGGTATATGTATCCGTAATCGCAATCATTATGTTATCAAAATGCAAACAGTAGTAGCACAGGTATCTGCAATCGTATCATAGTATGAGTCACTTCAGCAAGCCTGCAGGCAGAAGCTGTCGGTTGAGCAGTTGACTTTCTGCACGAAGGCCTAAGATCGCGGAGCCCTAAACCCCAAACCCGTCCTTCGATTCTTAAGTTGGGAGTTTCCGAAAATTAGGGGTACCTTATTTTGGGGTTATTATAATA